AATGAATTATTTTAAAATGGAATGATTAAATGAGGGGATAATCAACTTAACCAAGATTAGCATACTGTTAATTATCATTTTGATAATCCTTCTCATTTTGATAGTTCTTGGTTTATCTCTTAAAAAGCTGTTCAGTATGAATGCAATGATATAGGACTTAGAAAAAACTTAATAAAACAGGGCACATAGATATTCAAATCCCAGTGGGAATTTAATGGAGATCTAATTTCAACATTGCATTATAAGGCTATTGTAACTGTAATTCTTGCTTGATACCTGTTTTGTTGTATGTAATTTTACTATGCTAAAGTTAAAACCTTCCTTTTTATTTAAACAAAAAAAGGGAGGTGATGTGGGAGTCCCCCTGTGTGCTGAGATTACCATTAATGAATAAAGAAACTGCCTTGGCCTGTTGATAGGGCAGAACTTAGGTAGGCAAGGAGGGTTGTACTGAATGCTGGGAGAAAGTAAGGCAAAGTCAGAGCGATGCCATGGAGCTGCCGCCAGAGTCAGACATGTCAAATATTTGCCGCTAAACCACTGCCATGTTGCATTTACAGATTAATAGAAATGGGCTAATTTTTTTTCTTTTCTTTTTTCTTTTTCTTTTTTTTTTTTTTGAGACAAGGTTTCTCTGTAGCTTTGGTGCCTGTCCCAGATCTAGCTCTTGTAGACCAGGCTGGCCTCGAACTCACAGAAATCTGCCTGCCTCTGCCTCCCGAGTGCTGGGATTAAAGGCATGCACCACCACCACTCAGTGAAATGGGTTAAATTAATATGAGAGTTAGCCAATAAGAAACGAGCTAATTGGTCAGGCAGTGATTTAAATAATATGGTTTCTGTGTGATTAAGTTGGTTCCAGGCCTCTGGGACAAAAAAGCTGACCCTCCTCCTACAAATGGGTTTAATTAAATCCTTATGTTTGACTCCAACAAGCACTGTCTGTACAGCTATGATAAAGGGAATGGCAAGTAGTTACCTCTTAGAAATAAACTTTAAAATCTGATGTCAGATTGAAAGAAAGGAAAATGTTGACAAGAATTTAGTGATAACTAGATATGCATTTTTGTATTTTCCAGTGATCATATAAGGTCAATGATTTCACAATTATAACATCAAATTGATATCATACAATGTGTGGAAATTAAGAAAATAAACTGATGAGACTTTTTAAAGAACTTTGGTGTTGTTTGGTAGAGAAGGATAATACATAGAGCACAGGATTTCCTGTGGAAAAGCATGAATTCATATTTGGTTCTAGGTAATAATCATGAGCTGGAATGACAAGAGTTTATGTTCAGAGTAACACAATTCAGGGACAGGAATAACAACACTTAATGTGGAATCCTCCCCGTGTCTAGTCCTTAATGTATTTCCTCTTGCAACAATCATTTCATTAGATGCTGAAAAGGCATTTGACAAAATTCAACATCCCTTAATGATAAAAGTTTTGGAGAGATTAGGGATACAAGGGTCATACCTAAATATAATAAAAGCTATATACAGCAAGACGACAGCTAACATCAAATTAAATGGAGAGAAACTCAAAGCCATCCTGCTAAACTCAGGAACACGACAAGGTTGTCCACTCTTGCCATACCTCTAATATAGTGCTTGAAGTTCTAGCAATAGCAATAAGACAACATAAGGGGATCAAGGGGATTCGAATTGGAAAGGAAGAAGTTAAACTTTTGTTATTCGCAGATGATATGATAGTGTACATAAGCGACCCCAAAAACTCCACCAAAGAACTTTTACAGCTGATAAACAGCTTTAGTAATGTGGCAGGATATAAGATCAACTCCAAAAAATCAGTCGCCCTCTTATACACAAAGGATATGGAAGCAGAGAGGGAAATCAGAGAAGCTTCACCTTTCACGATAGCCACAAAAGCATAAAATATCTTAGGGTAACTCTACCCAAGGAAGTGAAAGATCTATTTGAAAGAACTTTAAGGCATTGAAGAAAGAAATTGAAGAGGATACCAAAAAATGGATGGACCTCCCTTGCTCTTGGATTGGGAGGATCAACATAGTCAAAATGGCAATTCTACCTAAGGCAATTTATAGATTCAATGCAATCCCCATCAAGATCCCATCAAAATTCTTCACAGATCTTGAGAGGACAATAATCAACTTTATATGGAAAAACAAAAAACACAGATATTGACGGAGGGGGGAGGACCTAGGACTTACCACATGGGCAGGGAACCTGGACTTCTCTTTGGACTGGAGAGAGAGGGGGAGAGGAGTGGGGGGAGGGGGAGAAGGGTGGGAGAAGGGGGAGAAGGGTGGGAGGAGGGGGAGGGAATTGTGAGGCTGGGAGGAGGTGGAAACTTGTTTTTTGTTTATGTTTTTTTTTCTCTTTTTCTCAATAAAAAAAAAATTAAAAAAAAAATCAGCCACAGGAATATTGTTTGCCTTCTTTGAGACAGTCATTTTGGTCTGCAGTGCACCAGTTAGGCCAGGCTAGCTGGCTAGCAAGTCCACACGGTTCTTCATGTTTCTGCCTCCCCAGAGTGGGGTTTTAAACCTGTGCCGCCACAATTGGCATCCATTCTGTCTGATGAAACTGTAGTACGCATGCTTGTGATCAACTGCACAGATAAAGCATATCTCTCTCTCTATCTCTCTCTCTCTCTGTGTCTCTCTCTCTCTCTCTCTCTCTCTCTCTCTCTGTCTCTCTCCCTCTGACTCTTGATAGAAGTTATTCAGAGACATTCTCAGAAAGAAAAATTCCGAGGCCAGAAACCATCAAGTGTTTTCATTTCTGCTTCAAGACCAGCACAATCACTTATACAGATTTGAAACGAAAAAGAAACTGTTTAAAAAAAAAAAAGACGAGAGAGATGAGGTGTTACATGAACAAGAGGGATCAAGAGCGTGGCTGGGAAATCCACAGACAACTGACCCAAAGTCAGTTAGGTCCTCTGCATGTGGGAGACACTTGTGTAGCCTGAATGGTTTGTGGGACCCCTGGCAGCGGGACCAGGATCTATCCCTGGTGTATAAGATGGCTTTTTGAGCCAATTCCAGATGGTGGGATATCTTGCTTAGCCTTGATGCAGTGGGGAGTGTCTTGGTCCTGTCTCACCTGACTATGTCAGGCCATACCCTTTCTGAGGAGTGGATGAGGAGTGATTTGGGGGTAGTTGTGGGAGAAGAGGGAGGAGGAAGAGGAGGAGGAACTGTGGTTGATATGTAAAATAAGCAAAAATTTTTTTAAAATGTATAAAGTTGAAAAAAAGAATTATATCTCAATAATCATAGATATAGCTGGATTTGGATTTGATTGAAAACAAATAAAGGCATTTTTCTTCTTTTTTTTTTAATTTTTTTTATTGCGAATAGAAGAAAAAAAACATAAACAAAAAACAAGTTTCCACCTCCTCCCAGCCTCCCATTTCCCTTCCCCTCCTCCCACCCTTCTCCCCCTCCTCCCACCCTTCTCACCCTCCCCCCACTCCTCTCCCCCTCCCTCTCCAGGCCACAGAGCAGTCCGGGTTCCCTGCCCTGTGGTAAGTCCTAGGTCCTCCCCGCCCGTCCATATCTAGGAAGGTGAACATCCAAACTGGCTAGGCTTCCACAAAGCCAGCACATTAAGTAGGATCAAAACCCCCTGCCATTGTCCTTGGTGTCTCATCAGCCCTCATTGTTCGCCATGTTCAGAGAGTCCGGTTTTATCCCATGCTTTTTCGGTCACAGTCCAGCTGGCCTTGGTGAGCTCCCAGTAGATCAGCTCCACTGTCTCAGTGGGTGGATGCACGCCTCGTGGTCCCGAATTCTTTGCTCATGTTCTCCCTCCTTCTGCTCCTCCTTGGGACCTTGGGAGCTCAGTCCAGTGCTCCTGTGTGGGTCTCTGTCTCTATCTCTATCCATCACCAGATGAAGATTCTATGATGATATGCAAGATATTCGTCAGTATTGCTCTAGGATAGGGTCATTTCAGGTTCCCAATCCTCAGCTGCCCAAGGAACTAACTGGGAACCTCATCTTGGGCACTAGGGAGCCCCTCTAGGGTCAAGTCTCTTGCCCACCCTAAACTGGCTCCCTTAACTAAGAATTGTGGTTCCGTGCTCCCCTATCCACCTTTCCTTTATCCCAATTCTCCTGTTTCCCAGGTCCCCCCTCCTTCCCTTCTACCTTTTCTCTCCCCATCTCCCTTTACCCCCATCCCACCCCATCCCGAAGATCCCATTTTCTCCCCGGAAATTTGGTCTACTTCCCTAGCCCAGAGGACAACTATATGTTTTTCCTTGGGTTCACCTTCTTACTTAGCTTCTTTAGGTTCACCTCTTGTAGACTCCATGGTCCTTATTTATAGCTAGAAACCAATTATGAGTGAGTACATCCCATATTCATCTTTTTGGGTCTGGGACACCTCACTCAGGATAGTGTTTTCTATTTCCATCCATTTGCATGCAAAATTCGAGAAGTCATTGTTTTTTACCGCAGCGTAGTACTCTAGCGTGTATATATTCCATATATAAAGGCATTTTTCAAAACAAAAGAACATTCACATACATAGAATATTTTTTAATTTAAGATACAATTATAGGTCTTTAATCCATAATAAATAAATAAATTTTTAAAAAAAGAAATAAAAAAGACACAATTATAGGATACTCCCCCAATAATCTGTGCTATGCTGTATATTTTTATGAAAACTTACTTCTAGAATAATAAATGAAATCCCTTTAGAAATTCTGGCAAAATGGCAAAGCCTTTTTAATGGACCTAAACTTTTAGAATAATTTCCAGGATTATGTCTCATTAAAAATCTAGAATTGGTATATCTTCTTCTGTGAGGAGAGTTTCTATTCCAACAAAAGAATTGTCAGAATAAGTAAAAAAAAAGTCCTCAGGCTCTGGAACAATATTTTATTGGTCTTTCTTCCTGCCTTCCAACCTCACTTTTATGAAATATGAGCTCTGCTAAGAGCTGAGACACCTTACTTCAGTCCTCTTGATATATGTAGCAGATTGCAATGGCACACACAGTTAATTTCTGAGGCTTCCCTGAGAAAAACAAAACACAGGACTCCATGTGTTTCTTCCAGTTCCTTTCTGAATTTCTTGCTTCCCACCTGTGTCCTTACCTGTGACTTCTGGGTGCTTGAGCAGGAGCAGCAGAGAGTACCTCAGTGTTGTACTTGTTGTCTCAGTCCCAGCAGAAAACAGGTCAGCTGCTGAGAAGAACAAGTTTTCACAGGTAAACTCTGTCTTTGGGTTGTTCTTTTCCTAGGAATGATTTTACAGTGTTAGCCAGCAAAATTTTGTCAATGTACAGAGTGAATAAAATGACTTGCATATGCTGAGTTTAACATGACAGACCTTACAGCATGCCATAGAAGAAGAAACTGACATGTGTTCAAGAAATATGGAAACCCACTGACCCATCTTTACCTCCTACACCCAGTGTCTTGTCTGGAAAAATTTTTTCATGAGACTCTTCAATCATGTGAACCATACAGTGTACCATCTTCCCAAAGAGACAAAAGTGAAAGAATTAAAGCCTCGTTTCATTTTTTGATGTCTTACTCAAAATACATGTTGAATGGAGCGGCTTGTTTATCCTGGCTGCCCAGAACCCAAAATACCACACAGAAACTATATTAACTAATCACTACTTGGCCCATTAGCTATAAATTTTTATAGGCTAACTCTTACATATTAAATTAACACATTTCTAGTAATCTCTGTATCACCACGTGACAATGGCTAACCAGCTTAAGTTTCTTCGGCATGTCTGACTCTGGGGGTGACTCCATGGCATCTCTCTGACTCCACCCTTCTTTCTCCCAGCATTCAGTCTAGTCCTCCCCGCCTACCTAAATTCTGCCCTATCAATAGGCCAAAGCACTTTCTTCATTCATTAGTGGTAATCACAGAACACAAAGGGGACTCCCACATCAAATACACATAAAAAGAAAAGGAGGAGAAAAGTCAAATAGTACATTGTGTTAGGGATATTCCCAAAGATGAACCTCCCAATTGTAAATGTAGTAAAGAAAGATGGGAAGTCCCTGAGTCTCATGGGAGAAGTATACTGCTTGAATAAGAATACTAAATCCAGCCGGGCGGCGGTAGCGCACGCCTTTAATCCCAGCACTCGGGAGGCAGAGGCAGGCGGATCTCTGAGTTCAAGACCAGCCTGGTCTACAAGAGCTAGTTCCAGGACAGGCTCCAAATAGACAGAGAAACCCTGTCTCGAAAAACCAAAAAAAAAAAAAAAAAAAAAAAAGAATACTAAATCCAGGACACAACTAGCATAAGGGTACGGTTCAGTGGAACAGAATAGAGAGATCACAAAGCAAACAAACAAACACCTTACTTTTAAGATAAGTTCCAATAGTGTTCAATGAGAATAGTGGCTTTACAACAAACGGAGCCATGACAGAAGGAGCATTTATTCATATAGGTACCCAATACACATCAATCTTTAATTTCACGTCCACGTGAATCCACTTGAAGTTATACTCAGTTAAGTCACCTTTACTCTTCTGCACTAATCATTCCCTTCTCACACCACATGCTACAATTAATAATTCGTCTGAAATTCACTCAGCTGTCCATAGCTAATATTTTAAACTTTAGTTCAATATGCAGATGCTGTAGAAAGTCTGGCTAGCTTGAGCTGCTTTTTTTAAGTTTTCATACATTGTCTGCAAAGACAACTTTCATTTTTCTATTATGTCATGACATTTTTTTCTGAGAGGTTTAGAAATGTTTTGATTCCATGGGCCTATTGCATTATAAGATTATTTTGGTCTAAAACTTGGGCTCAATATATTCAAATTACTTAACTTTATGCTATCTGGGATACGTACAACTAATTCATTTATATGTTATGAACACAAAGTGCTTGTCAAACATTACTGGCCTTTACCATTTGAATATCACTGTAAAACATGAATATTTTATTCATGGAACAAAATATACTCAAGCAAACAAATAACTAAATTGAAGGTCTGTTATCATTTTACCTGCTCCATTTTGATCAGAAAGCAATCAATAAAGTCCCGAGGATTGTTAATATCCAGTGATTCTTGGTGCTCTGTTATTTTTGATGAAAAATAATGTTTTGTAAAAGTGAAATTTTTAAATAATTGTCTGTGTCTTCCTGGTAGATAATCAATAATAGCAGGAAAATTGTTGCAAATCTACAAAAGAAAATGATGAAAGTTTAAAACATGAGATGTATATAAGTGTGCCTTATAGTGGACCTTGGCCAGAAAGTATAAACACAAAATAAATAAAATATATTTTCCATTTAGATGAAGTATTTTTATGGTGCATGCAAAAATTCTCTTTGCTTGTGAAGATGTCGATAGAAGAGCGTAATGAACCAGCTCACACGTGATAACCACTGCACAAAATCTCACACAATCTTTATTCCATACATAAATGTTACACCAGCTCCTTCATTTTCTCCACAACTTCTTCACTACAACCTTGAATACAAAACACCATGAATTGATATGATTTACATTTTTTAGACTGCAACAGAGATAAAGGAACTTGGGATATCCTGAATAGATGCACTGATGTCATACTTGCTACTTAATTTCCATCAGTCACTCTCAGACACAGAATAAGAATTTTAGCAGTGAGAGTCTTAAGAATTTTTTAAGTATAATTGTGAACCTGCGCAGACCAGCCGGATGATTTCTTCAAAATTGTTTAGACAAATTATTAACGCAGTTCAACACAGGAATAAATGTGATGGGATCCAAACACCATTTAAACATTTTATCACTCCTATGCAGACATATTGCTACTTAGGATGTCAGCTGCTTACTATTTAATATTTAATAAACACTGCCATACTTCAGGGGTACTGGCAGTTTCAATGATTCCATACACTGTCCCAACTTGAAGAAAATATTCTCACTATGAAATTCCTCCAAAGTGTTTTTGACAAGATCTCTAAAGTATTAAATGAAACATAAGCCTTGTTGCTAACAGATTTCAAAACTAAAACAGATGTCCACTGAGTTATGTCGGGATCTTCTGAGCATTGATTTTTAGAGAAAGTGATTTGAGATTTAATGAAACAACCTACAGTCAGGCTTTCATTTGTCTAAAAATATATTTGGAATTTCAGAAAACATATATCTAGAAGAGGTTTGGGGGTTTTATTGGTTTTTGTTTTGTTTTATTTTTAAAGAAAGAAGCTTGAGCTCACCTGCATCCAAGGGGAACTTAGAATCTCTACATTTTCATTTAGGACATTCATGAAGTTGAGAAATTCCTGATCTTTATAATCAAAACGATTCTGGAAAATAATGGAACAGATGACATTGCAAGGAGCACAGGCCAGGATGAAGGTGGGGTCACAGGGTGAACCTGAAGAGTTGGGAAAAATTGCAAAACGTCACATAAGCGGAGATTAACTTTTGTTTCCCAGTCACCCAGACCCAAATAATCACATAGTAACAATATTAATTACAACACTGCTTAGCTGATGACTCAGGCATATTTCTATGTAGCTCTTATGTGTTAAATTAATCCATGTTTGTGCTAATCTATGAATCACCATGAGGCTGTGCCTACCAGTAAGTTTTGGCATCTTTTATCTTTTTCCTTTGGCAGCTACATGGCGTCTCTCTGACTCCAACTCTCTCTCTCTCTCTCTCTCTCTCTCCATATATATATATACACATATATGTTCAGATTTCCCACACGATTTTATTCTGCCCTCCCATCGGCTGAGGCAGTTTCTTTATTAAGGAATGATAATAAAACATATTCACAGCATGCAGAAGGAAATCAAACATTAATACCACTGAAATAAATGTGTGTAAAACACTCTATCACCTAATAGGTAAAAGAACTTGTGACAAGTCTTACCCACAGATGGCTGGTAGACATAACAATATGCATTACATCTGTACATCATTTTTATATTTTATATGGTTTCATTGATCTGACCACCTATCCAAATCATGACATTGAGTATACTGTCTTTATCTCACCCCTTTATTGACTTGCCTATCTCCTCGGAGGTTTGGAAAAGAGACTTTTTAAACCCTCAGCAATTCAAGACTTTTGGGGAGATCCGAGTCTCTTTGTGATGCCTCTGGATAACATGATACAAAGATGCATGGGAATGAAAGGCAGGGGGATCTGGGAAGAGGTGGAGTGTGAATATGATCAAAATGCACTGTACACACTTCTTGAAGAACAAACAAAAGTAAAGGGGGAAAAGCATCTGCGCCCAAAAAAGAAGAAAGGGAAAGAATGATAGGAACTTAGGAAAATTTATATATAGGATTAAAGGCTCGTGTCCTTAGCAAGTAGAGTATAATAAATAAATAGAGAGAACGTGTTGACTTCATATATTCAGAAAGCTAATATGTAAAAGAAACACATCTATGTTATATGAACTGAAATTTGTATTAATAAACATTAAACATAAAATGGATTTCTTGTGGTAAAATTAAGATGAGAACCTTTGCTTGAAATATGCCCTCAAAAGAAAGAAAACAAAAGTAGAAAAAGATGGTTTTTAATTCTCACTTCAATGTCTCAAATCCCTCTGATTTTCTCCCTTTCATAGGAAATAAATGTCTGTAATGATTAATACTGATTGCCAACTTGACAGGATTTAGCATCACCAGGCATAGTGGCTTCTGGACATGCTAGGGAGCTGGGAAGATCGATCCTATATGAGGAGGTCACCATTCCTTAGTCTTTGGTGCTAGACTCCATAAATGGAAGAAACCTGGCCAATTAGGAGAATTCTTATCTCTGCTTTCACCAAACTTATAGGGTGACCAAGACACAATTCCATCACAATAGACTAAAACTAAAACTATAAGCCCAAATAATTTCTTCATTTCTTCAGTTGCTTTAACCAGGTATTTTATTACAGCAGCAGGTGAAATAACTAACATTGTTCATCATCCCCTAAATTCCTTACATTTTAACATTTGTGTATTCTTTGTGGATGTCTCCATAATCAAATTCAAACGGTTACACTTTTATATAAAGCACTTACAAAAATCAAACTCATAGACCCTAAAATAAAAATATCTTGAATCAAAAGTACCTCAGATAAGTAATAGAACATTTGACAATAATAAATTGAGTTAGTTGTTTGAATGCCATATGCTTTTAAACACTATAGCATTCATGAAAGTGCTATTTCAATACATAACTTATTATGTCAAGGAGTGAGAAGTTTATTTTTTTTGTGATTATAATTTTTTTATTAAGAAAAGAAGAAAAAAAACATAAACAAAAAACAAGTTTCCACCTCCTCCCAGCCTCCCATTTCCCTCCCCCTCCTCCCACCCTTCTCCCCCTCCTCCCACCCTTCTCACCCTCCCCCCACGCCTCTCCCCCTCCCTCTCCAGGCCACAGAGCAGTCCGGGTTCCCTGCCCTGTGGTAAGTCCTAGGTCCTCCCCCCTCTGTCCATATCTAGGAAGGTGAACATCCAAACTGGCTAGGCTTCCACAAAGCCAGCACATTAAGTAGGATCAAAACCCCGTGCCATTGTCCTTTGCGTCTCATCAGCCCTCATTGTTCGCCATGTTCAGAGAGTCCGGTTTTATCCCATGCTTTTTCGGTCACAGTCCAGTTGGCCTTGGTGAGCTCCCAGTAGATCAGCTCCACTGTCTCAGTGGGTGGGTGCACGCCTCGTGGTCCCGACTTCTTTGCTCATGTTCTCCCTCCTTCTGCTCCTCATTGGGACCTTGGGAGTTCAGTACAGTGCTCATGTGTGGGTCTCTGTCTCTATCTCTATCCATCACCAGATGAAGGTTCTATGATGATATGCAAGAATTTCGTCAGTATTGCTCTAGGATAGGGTCATTTCAGGTTCCCAATCCTCAGCTGCCCAAGGAACTAACTGGGAACCTCATGTTGGGCACTTGGGAGCCCCTCTAGGGTCAAATCTCTTGCTCACCCTAAAGTGGTTCCCTGAACTAAGAATTGTGGTTCCGTGCTCCCCTATCCACCTTTCCTTTATCCCAAATCTCCTGATTCCCCAAGTCCCCCCTCCTTCTGTTCTATCTTTTCTCTCCCCATCTCCCCTTACCCCCATCCCACCCCACCCCCAAGATCCTAATTTTCTTCCCGGCAATTTGGTCTACTTCCCTTAGCCAAGAGGATAACTATATGTTTTTCCTTGGGTTCCCCTTCATACTTAGCTTCTTTAGGTTCACCTATTGTAGACTCCGTGGCCCTTATTTATGGCTAGAAACCAATTATGAGCGAGTACATCCCATGTTCATCTTTTTGGGTCTGGGACACCTCACTCAGGATAGTGTTTTCTATTTCCATCCATTTGCATGCAAAATTCGAGAAGTCATTGTTTTTTACCACAGCATAGTACTCTAGCGTGTATATATTCCATACTTTCTTCATCCGTTCTTCCATTGAAGGGCATCTAGGTTGTTTCCAGGTTCTGGCTATTACAAATAATACTGCTATGAACATAGTTGAACAAATCCTTTTGTCATATGATAGAGCATCTCTTGGGTATATTCCCAGGAGTGGTAATGCTGGGTCCAGGGGTAAGTTGATCCCGAATTTCCTGAGAAACCGAAACACTGACTTCCACAGTGGTTGCACAAGATTGCATTCCCACCAGCAATGGATGAGGGTACCCGTTCCTCCACAGCCGCTCCAGCAAAGGTTATCCTTGGTGTTTTTGATTTTAGCCATTCTGACAGGTGTAAGATGATATCTCAAAGTTGTTTTGATTTGCATTTCCCTGATTGCTAAGGAAGTTGAGCACGACCTTAAGTGTCTTTTGGCCATTTGAACTTCCTCTGCTGAGAATTCTCTGTTCAGTTCAGTGCCCCATTTTTTAATTGGGTTAATTAGCATTTTAAAGTCTAGTTTCTTGAGTTCTTTATATATTTTGGAGATCAGACCTTTGTCTGTTGTGGGGTTGGTGAAGATCTTCTCCCAGTCAGTAGGTTGCCTTTGTGTCTTAGTGACTATGTCCTTTGCTTTACAGAAGCTTCTCAGTTTAAGTAGGTCCCATTTATTCAATGTTGCCCTTAATGTCTGTGCTTCTGGGGTTATACATAGGAAGCGATCTCCTGTGCCCATCTCCTGTAGGGTACTTCCCACTTTCTCTTCTATCAGGTTCAGTGTGTTCGGGCTGATATTGAGGTCTTTAATCCATTTGGACTTGAGTTTTGTGCATGGTGATAGATAAGGGTCTATTTTCATTCTTTTACAGGATGACATCCAGTTGTGCCAGCTCCATTTGTTGAAGATGCTTTCTTTCTTCCATTGTATACTTTTAGCTCCTTTATCAAAAATGAGGTATTCATAGGTTTGTGGGATAAAATCCGGGTCTTCTATACGATTCCATTGGTCGACTTCTCTGTTTTTATGCCAGTACCACACTGTTTTCATTACTGTAGCTCTGTAATAGAGTTTGAAGTCAGGGATGGTAATGCCTCCAGAAGATCCTTTATTGTATAGGATTGTTTTGGCTATCCTGGGTTTTTTGTTTTTCCATATAAAGTTGATTATTGTCCTCTCCAGATCTGTGAAGAATTTTGATGGGATCTTGATGGGGATTGCATTGAATCTATAAATTGCCTTTGGTAGAATTGCCATTTTTACTATGTTGATCCTCCCCATCCAAGAGCAAGGGAGGTCCATCCATTTTCTGGTATCCTCTTCAATTTCTTTCTTCAATGTCTTAAAGTTCTTGTCAAATAGATCTTTCACTTCCTTGGTTAGATGTACCCCAAGATATTTTATGCTGTTTTTGGCTATTGTGAATGGTGAAGCTTCTCTGATTTCCCTCTCTGCTTCCATATCCTTTGTGTATAAGAGGGCAACTGATTTTTTGGAGTTGATCTTGTATCCTGCCACATTACTAAAGCTGTTTATCAGCTGTAAAAGTTCTTTGGTGGAGTTTTTGGGGTCGCTTATGTACACTATCATATCATCTGCAAATAACGAAAGTTTAACTTCTTCCTTTCCAATTTGAATCCCCTTGATTCCATTATGTTGTCTTATTGCTATTGCTAGAACTTCAAGCACTATATTGAAGAGGTATGGCGAGAGTGGACAGCCTTGTCGTGTTCCTGAGTTAAGTGGGATGGCTTTGAGTTTCTCTCCGTTTAATTTGATGTTAGCTGTCGGCTTGCTGTATATAGCTTTTATTATATTTAGGTATGACCCTTGTATCCCTAATCTCTCCAAGACTTTTAACATAAATGGATGTTGAATTTTGTCAAATGCTTTTTCAGCATCTAATGAAATGATCATATGGTTTTTTTCTTTCAGTTTATTTATATGCTGGATTACATTGATAGATTTTCGTATGTTGAACCAGCCCTGCATCTCAGGAATGAAGCCTACTTGATCATAATGGATAGTTTTTCGGATGTGTTCTTGGATTCGATTTGCCAGTATTTTGTTGAGGATTTTTGCGTCGATATTCATGAGTGAGATTGGCCTGTAGTTCTCTTTCCTGGTTGAGTCTTTGAGTGGTTTTGGTATCAGAGTAATTGTGGCTTCATAAAAGGAGTTTGGTAATGACCCTTCTGTTTCTATCTTGTGGAATACATTAAGGAGTATAGGTATTAGATCTTCTTGGAAGATCTGGTAGAAATCCGCATTGAAACCATCTGGTCCTGGGCTTTTTTTGGTAGGGAGGTTTTTGATAACCTCTTCTAGTTCTTCGCGACTAACAGGTCTATTTAGATTGTTCACAAGGTCCTGATTTAACTTTGGTATATGATATTTATCTGAAAAAGTATCCATTTCCTTTACATTTTCCAATTTTGTGGCATATAGGCTTTTGTAGTAAGATCTAATGATTCTCTGAATTTCCTCTGTGTCTGTGGTTATGTCCCCCTTTTCATTTCTGATCTTATTAATTTGCAAATTCTCTCTCTGCCGTTTGATTAGTTTGGATAGGGGTTTGTCAATCTTGTTGATTTTCTCCAGGAACCAGCTTTTTGTTTCATTGATTTTTTGTATTGTTTTCTGTGTTTCTATTTTGTTGATTTCAGCCCTCATTTTGATTATTTCCAGTCTTCTACTCCTCCTAGGTGAGTCTGCTTCTTTTTTTTCTAGAGCTTTCAGGTGGGCTGTTAAGTCTCCAATGTGAGCTTTCTCTGTTTTCTTTAAGTGGGCACTTAGTGCTATGAACTTTCCTCTTAGGACTGCTTTCATAGTGTCCCATAAGTTTGGGTATGTTGTTTCTTTATTTTCATTGAATTCCAGGAAGACTTTAATTTCTTTCTTTATTTCTTCCTTAATCCAGCTATGGTTCAATAGTTGACTGTTCAGTTTCCATGACTTTGTATGCTTTCTGGGGGTAGCATTATTGTTGAATTCTAACTTTAATCCATGGTGATCTGATAAGACACAGGTGGTTACTAATATTTTTTTGTAACTGTGGATGTTTGCTTTGTTACCGACTATGTGGTCAATTTTCGAGAAGGTTCCATGAACTGCAGAGAAGAAGGTATATTCTTTCCTATTTGGATGGAATGTTCTATAGATGTCTGTTAAGTCCATTTGATTCATTACCTCCATTAATTCTCTTTTTTCTCTGTTAGGTTTCTATCTGATTGACCTGTCAATTGGTGAGAGAGCAGTGTTGAAGTCTCCTACTATTAGTGTGTGCGGTTTGATGGCTGCCTTGAATTTTAGCAATGTTTCTTTTATGTACGTGGGTGCTTTTATATTAGGGGCATAGATGTTCAGGATTGAGACTTCATCCTGATGAACTGTTCCTGTTATGAGTATAAAATGCCCCTCTCCATCTCTTCTGATTGATTTAAGTTTGAAGTCAACTTTGTTAGAGATTAGTATGGCCACACCTGCCTGTTTCTTAGGTCCATTTGCTTGATAGGCCTTTTCCCAGCCCTTTACTCTGAGTAGGTGCCTGTCTTTGTGGTTGAGGTGTGTTTCTTGTAAACAGCAGAATGTTGGATCCTGTTTTCTTATCCAATCTCTTAGCCTGTGCCTTTTTATAGGTGAGTTGAGTCCATTGACATTAAGTGATATAGATGACCAGTGGTTGTTAACTCCGGTCATTTTTTTTTTTAGTCGTAGAGTTTGTGTGTTTCCCTTCTTTGTTTTGTGTTGGTGAAGGGTCTCTAGATGTCTGAGTTATTGTGGTCATTGTTGGACTCCTTGGTTAGTGATTTTCCTTCAATTACTTTCTGTAAGGCTGGATTTGTGGCTGCGTATTGTTTAAATTTGTTTTTATCCTGGAAAATTTTATTTTCTCCATTTATAGTGAATGAAAGCTTGGCTGGGTATAGTAATCTGGGCTTGCACCCATGGTCTCTCAGTTTCTGCAGTACATCTATCCAGGACCTTCTGGCTTTCATGGTTTCCATGGAGAAGTCAGGTGTAAGTATGATAGGTTTACCTTTATAAGTAATTTGGCCTTTTTCCTTTGCAGCTCTTAATATTCTTTCCTTATTCTGTATGCTTTGTGTTTTGATAATTATATGGCGAGGGGATGTTTTTTTTTGATCCAGCCTATTCGGTGTTCTGTATGCTTCTTGCACCTTCAAAGGAAAATCTTTCTTTAGGTTGGGAAAGTTTTCTTCTATAATTTTATTAAATATATTTTCTGGACCATTGAGCTGCCCTTCTCCTTCTTCTACTCCTATTATTCTTAGGTTTGGTCTTTTTATTGTGTCCCATATTTCCTGAATGTTTTGTGATGAGAGTTTGTTGGACTTGCTGTTTTCTTTGATCAGTGTGTTTATTTTCTCTATGGTATCTTCAGATTCCGAGAGTCTTTCTTCTATCTCTTGTATTCTGCTGGTTATGCTTGTTTCTGTAGTCTCTATTCGTTTACCTAGATTTTCCATGTCCAGACGGCCCTCTGTTTGTGTTTTCTTCTTTGCCTCCATTTCAGTTTTCAAGTCTTGAACTGTTTCCATTATCTGTTTGATTGTTTTTCCTTGGTGTTCTAGGGTATCATTCACTGATTTATTCAATTCTTCAAACTTTCTGTTATATTTCTCATCCATTTCTATAAGGGCGTTTTTTACATGCTGTTTAAAGGTGTCAATCACTTTCATGAAGTCAATCTTTTCTCCTTCCTCTTGATTAAGGGGTTCTTGTCCTCCCGTTGTGAGGTCGCTTGTTTCTGGTAGCTTCATGTTGCTTTTCAGGTTGTTGGGCGAATTCTTGCCTTGACGTCGGCCCATCTCTTCTTCCAAATGCTCCCTATGGATCTTCTTTTACCGGATCAGGTCTCCTTGCCTACCAAACGCTGTCTCTCCCCAATGTTGGCTCTCCCAATGCTGGGTCTCCTGGCGCCGAAAGATCAGGCCTCCGTGCTGGTTGGGCAGCTCGCAAACAAAGCACCTACCCCGCTTGGTGCAGGCAGGCCCCAGAAACAAAGGAACTGCTGCCTGCCCGGGAGCCCCGGGTACTCGGACCCAGCGCCCAGATAGGCTGGGCTGGGCGATGCCATGCGCCAAAAGAGGGCAGTGGGGGCGAAGTAAGGAGGGCTCTGGACGGAAGCTGGGTGGGCCAGGAAGAAAGAGGCAGCACCCAGGGAGTAGAGGCCTTGCAGAGAGCCCAAGCAGGACAGGGGGCCAAGAAACCCCCGAGCTCCCCGTCCCAGGCTGGCGCCATGAGAAGTTTATTTTTAAAATGTATTACACTCATGGATATGGGTAAGCGGCTACGAGTATATGTGAGTGTGGGTGTATGTGACTCAGAAAAGAAATATCACTCTTTTTTCCTTTCACTTAATTTAAAAGATAGCATTTAAAAAACAGGTCATGTTTCATTGTGAAAAGTATGTCAAGCAATTGTAATCTTGAGAGCAAAAAAAAAATACAATTATTTTCATAAACATATAACTGTAAATACAGCAAACAGAGGGAGATGAGATGAATAAATGAAGATGGAACCAATAGTGGAGCCTAGCTGCATACATTACTGAAAACTGAACATTAATTTTACAGAATCATGCAATGATATATTTGTTCAAAACTGTGAATCAAAACCATAAAATATTAGAAAGAGTACATTCTGTCTTGTACAAATTATGCTATGGTTTTAGAAGAGAATGAACCAATAGGCCTTTATTAAGATATTGTCATGTAAAAAAATGTGTTACAAAGCAATATCCACCAGAACTTTATGCCTGGGCATGACATGTGTCAGCTATACAACATAGTCCACTTAAGAACAATTTTACCACTAGGTTTCTGCTCTATACAACCGTGATGCATATTCACATACCAAGTATTTGCTACTGAAATTAATGTTTATGCTGAGGAAAATTATTCTTCCTTAAAACATCAGAAAGTAAGTTCAAAAACAAAAATTTATATAGACATTTTGGATTTTAAAAACAGGTGAAAAATATCTAAAGAAAATGATGACTTAGATCCTCTACAACTGGCAGAATCCCTTCATAAAACAAAAATCACAGATATAAAAGCTCTCCTAAATTTTTTACTGCAAGTCACACTTTCCATATGAAAACAGAGCCAAAACACAGAATGAAAGCTCTAGCCACCCTCAAAACTACTCAAAGACATAAAAACAAGACAGAAGTCTATGATGAGTAACCCTCACCATTGGATTTCCTCAATTCCTCCACAAGACAGCCAGCTTCCTCTTGAACACGGTCCTCAATGCTCCTCTTCCCCATTCCAAAGTTCCATGGAGTCATTAGTGAGAAGCACCTCATCTCCTTCCAGGTTCTCCCACTACTAAAAACTATGCCTAAAAGAAAAAACAGATATGAGTAGGAAGATTCCCAAATAAGGTAGTGGGGCTGATGGGTGGCTGCCAAACAGAAAGCCAAGTTGGGTCTGAACAAGTTTTCAAGATTACATTCCATTCTCAAATTCCCTGTGACCACAGCCCAACATACATGCATGAACACATAGGTGTATGGAGAGATAGATGCATGAACTTGTAGGCACATGGGCACTTACCATGACCTTTACCAATCTTTTCAGCCATTGGAAAGTTTCCTCTTCCAGCAAACTCATCTCCATGATCAATGAAGGCTTCTTTTAAAGCTTTATATCCATGCAACACCACAGTAGGCTTCCTGCCCAAGTATAGAGTGAACACGGAACCATAGACTTTTGAAAACTGGAAAATAAAAAACTAATTAAAAATGGAGCAAAAAGATGTTAGTGTTTGACTACCAAAAGGCTACCTGGAGGCTGTACACAGACCTTCCTCACTCTTTCTGCTATTCCAGAAACAGTTCTGATAGTTCCCCTTAGCACTGAAACAGCATACCAGCTGCTGTTCATTTTCCCTCATCCATGCCTCCTGTGGATCCCACAGACCATCCTACCTTATCCTTCTCTCCCTTCCTCTTTGCTATAGCTCACAGCCTAACTTATCCACAGACAACACCTGGTTTCAGTGCAGAATTCTACCAGACTTTTACATAAGAGTTAACACCAACATTCCTCAAATTATTCTACAAAGTAGAAACAAAAGCATATTGCCAAATTCATTTTATGAGGCCATAGTTACCCTGGTGCCCAAAACAAATAAACTCAACAAAAACAGAGAGAATTACAAACCAATTTCCCTTATCCACACAAATGAAAAATACTCAATAAATTACTGGTAAACTGAATCCAAGAATAGATCATAAAGATCATTCATCATGACCAAGTAAGTTTCATCCCAGAGAAGCAAGGATGGTTAAACATACAAAAATCTGTCAATATAATCTCTACCATATGAATAAAACTTAAAGAAAAAACACATGATTATCTCTATAGATTGCAATAAAAAAGCCTTTACTAAATCCAACACCCCCTCAAGATAAAAAAAAAAAAACACTGGAGAGGTTATGGATATAAAGAGCATATTTTAGCATAATAAAGACACTTTACAGCAAGCCTGTATCCAACATCAAATTAAATGGAGAGAATCTCAAAGCAATTTTACCCATATCAGGAACAAGATAAGACTGCACACTCTCTCCATATCTATTCAGTAAAATATTTGAGTTCTAGCTAAAGCAATAAGACAACTAAAGGACATCGAGGGGATATAAACTGGAAAGGAATATGTCAAAATACCATTATTTACAGATGATATAATAGCATACGTACATGACTTTAAGAATTCCACTAGGGAGGTACTGAGGAGTTCCATCTGGACGGGCGACCCACCCAGAGCAGATCTCGCCCCGCCTGCCAGGTTTTTTTCCTTTTGTCCCCGGATCATCGGGCTACCAGGTGGCCCTGTTTAGGTACTGAGGAGTTCCATCTGGACGGGTGAGTGTGTGCTATCCAGGGGTGGATTGACCCAGAAGAGACCACAAACTCCCCCCTCCCCCAGCTCCTTCTGCAGGGCTGTCTTTCTTACACCCAACTCCCCCCCCACACAAGCCTGCATTATCTGCTAGGTCCTTTGCTCAGGAACAGTTTTCTGCTCCTACACGAAGGCTACCCACCCAGAGAGGTGAGTGCTTGCCTACTAGGCAGGCCTCAAGGACTTCCCCCAAAGGGAGCATGTGCACCTTCGGCTTTTGCTGCAGGGTGTCCTGTGTTCTACTCGTCTCCGCCCTGCCCCCCCAAGTTCTCCCTTTTGTCCGCGGGTCATTGGACTACCAGGCGTCTATGATTTGGTGCTCAGAAGTTCCATCTGGACTGGACAGTTCCTGCTTCTACACTGAAGAGTTACAATCAGAGAGTCAGTCACAGCTAAGACTGGACCAAGACACCAGGCCTCTCCTAGATCCATTTGAAGGAAGAGATGGGAAGGCGACAAGGCAAGAATTCCTCCAACAACCTGAAAGGCAACGTGACAAAACCAGAATCCAGAGATCCCGAAATAAGAAGAATTGTACAAACTACTCTAGAAGAATTAGAGAAATCGACTCAAAAGTGAATTATATGAAAATAATAGAAGACCTTAAACAGGAGGTGAAAAACTGCCATAAACAATTAGAGATCACAAAAAAAAAGGTAGAGGAAATGAATAAAGCGCTCAAAGATACCCAAGAAAACCAAAAGAAACAAGAAAAAGCAATCAAACAGGTAAGGGAAGTGGTTCAAGACATGAAGAATGAAATGGAAGTAATGAAGAAAACACAAACCGAGGGAAGGATGAAGATGGAAAATCTGGGTAAACGAACAGGAAATACAGAGACAAGTACTACCAACAGATTACAAGAGATAGAAGAAAGAATTTCAGATACTGAAGATACCATAGAGAAAATACACACACTGATCAAAGAAGACAGCAAAACCAACAAATTCAAATCACAAAACATTCAGGATCTGAGACACAATAAAAAGACCAAACCAAAGAATTATAGGGGTAGAAGAAGGAGAAGAAGTGCAGCTCAACGGTCCAGAAAATATATTTAATAAAATTATAGAAGAAAATGTTCCCAACCTAAAGAAAGATATTCCTTCAAAGGTTCAAGAAGCATACAGAACACTGAATAGACTGGACCAAAAATAAAACATCTCTTCGCCATATAATAATCAAAACACAAAACATACAGAATAAAGAAAGAATATTAAGAGCTGCAAAGGAAAAAGGCCAAGTTACTTATAAAGGTAAACCTATCAGACTTACACCTGATTTCTCTATGGAAGCCATGAAAGCCAGAAGGTCCTGGATAGATGTATGCAGAAACTAAGAGAACATGGATGCAAGCGCAGACTACTATACCAAGCAAAGCTTTTGTTCACTATAAATGAAGAAAACAAAATTTTCCAGGATAAAAACAAATTTAAACAATACGTAGCCACAAATCCAGCCTTACAGAAAGTAATAGAAGGAAAATCACAAACCAAGGAGTCCAACAAAAACCACAATAACTCAGACATCAAGAGACCCTTCACCAGCACAACTCAAAGAAAGGAAACACACAAACACTACTACTAATAAAGTGACAGGAATTAACAACCACTGGTCATTAATATCACTTAATGTCAATGGGCTCAACTCCCCTATAAAAAGGCACAGGCTAAGAAATTGGATACGAAAACAGGATCCAACATTCAGCTGTTTACAAGAAACACACCTTAACCACAAAGACAAGCACGAACTCAGAGTAAAGGGCTGGGAAAAGGTTTATCACGCAAATGGACCTAAGAAACAAGCAGGTGTGGCCATACTAATTTCTAACAAAGTTGACTTCAAATTCAAATCAATCAGAAGAGATGGAGAGGGACAATTTATACTCATAAAAGGAACAATTCATCAGGATGAAGTCTCAATCCTGAATATATATGCCCCTAATATAAAAACACCCACGTATGTAAAAGAAACATTACTAACACTCAAGGCAGCCTTCAAACCTCACACACTAATAGTAGGAGACTTCAACAATCCTCTCTCACCAATGGACAGATCAATCAGACAGAAACCTAACAGAGAAATAAGAGAATTAATGGAGGTCATGAATAAAATGGACTTAACAGACATCTATAGAACATTCCAACCAAATAGGAAAGAATATACCTTCTTCTCTGCAGCTCATGGAACCTTCTCGAAAATTGACCACATACTCGGTGACAAAGCAAACTTCCACAGTTACAAAAAAATATTCATAACCTCCTGTGTCTTATCAGATCACCATGGATTAAAGTTAGAATTCATCAATAATGCTACCCCCAGAAAGCCTACAAACTCATGGAAACTGAACAGTCAACTACTGAACCACACCTGGATTAAGGAAGAAATAAAGAAAGAAATTAAGTCTTCCTCAAATTCAATGAAAATAAAGGAACAACATACTCAAACTTATGGGACACTATGAACGAAGTCCTGAGAGGAAAGTTCATAGCACTAAGTGCCCACTTAAAGAAAACAGAAAAAGCACACATTGGAGACTTAACAGCCCACATGAAAGCTCTAGATAAAAAAGAAGCAGACTCACCTAGGAGGAGTAGAAGACTGGAAATAATCAAAATGAGGGCTGAAATCAACAAAATAGAAACACAGAAAACAATACAAAGAACCAAAGAAAAAAAAGCTGGTTCCAGGAGAAAATCAACAAGATTGATAAACCCCTATCCAAACTAATCAAACGGCAGAGAGAGAATATGCAAATTAATAAGATCAGAAATGAAAAGGGGGACATAACCACAGACACAGAGGAAATTCAGAGAATCATTAGATTTTACTACAAAGGCCTGTATGCCACAAAACTGGAAAATGTAAAAGAAATGGACACTTTTTTAGATAAATACCATATACCAAAGTTAAACCAGGACCAGGTGAACAACTTAAATAGACCTGTTAGTCGCGAAGAATTAGAAACTGTTAGCAAAAACGTCCCTACCAAAAAAAGCCCAGGACCAGATGGTTTCAATGCGGAATTCTACCAGAACTTCCAACAAGACCTAATACCTATACTCCTTAATGTATTTCACAATATAAAAACAGAATAGGCATTGCCAAATTCCTTTTATGAAGCTACAGTTACTCTGATACCAAAACCACACAAAGACTCAACCAAGAAAGAGAATTACAGGCCAATCTCACTCATGAATATCGACGCAAAAATCCTCAACAAAATACTGGCAAACCGTATCCAAGAACACATTAGGAAAATTATCCATTATGATCAAGTAGGCTTCATCACAGAGATGCAGGGCTGGTTCACCATACAAAAATCTATCAATGTAATCCAGCATATAAATAAACTGAAAGAAAAATACCAT